GAGTCCGCGAGTATATAAAATAAAAATAATATATATAAAAATGCAAATAGAGGTACCTAAACTTCTACTGCGTGTACATAAATGCACACCTTTTATTTTATTTTTTACTAAAGAGATCAATTTACCTCAGTATACGCTTGACACATAGATTCATATAAATTTTGGTGCTGATGAATGGCATTCTCAAGCATAATTATTTCGTTTGGCAAATTGTTATTATCACAGGCGGAATTCCAGTTCTTGACATTGTCGACGTATTGTTCCGCCTTGTGATGGAATATGACGGATAGCGCCAGGACGGCAGTTCTTTCGTCCAGTCCGGCAGCGAAGTCCTTCCACGTCCTGTCCAACCGATTCGCTACGGAACGGATATGGGCAGCCGCATAATGACCACCTTCGATCAAACGACTCGCCACCGAAAGTATTCGATTTATGTTCACGTAAACGTTCATGGAACTCATGGTGAAATGCTGATGGTCTTCTTGCAACTGTTTGGCCACTTGATACGAGTGGCCAATTTCGACGTAATTTAATAAGAACACGTCTCGATTGTGGCAAATCCAGTCGAACATCTGAAATAAAGCAATGATACTTCAGAAATATTTCTATTGAGTATACGGAATATTTAGAATAGACCAGACGAAATCTACACAAATTGAAACATGATTTTACATCGTCTGTCTTTTGGGAACTTAAAATCTATGTTGTTTTATGCCGAATAAGTTAGGGTATTAGGTAAGACGTAGCGTTTCTTATGGGTTTCAAATCGCTTAAGAATAAGTGATGTTTCAGTTTAGATCGCCTGCCAATTTCATAGAACGAATGTAAAAATGATACAGTCCGTTAACTTAGTGAAAGGTACACCATGTCAGATCAATGTGCGCAGACTGTCTTAATGAACGTAACTGTCAGATGTTATTTACAGCGCCAGAGGCTTACAGTTGCGTTTCGATCAGAAACATCTGACGATAAACTAGCGGTCATACTTCGGGCACCCGACTACGACCTATATTAGTTTCTGCGCATCGCCCACGGTGTACCTTCCTCTAAGTGAACTGACTATACCAACTTCTACTGCTTGAATCAAATCGACCGAACTATCTGCCGATAGTACGGAACATGATCTAAATCACGATGCAGACTATCGATTTGAATTCTCCGGAAACTCGAAGATCTCGTCTGCCGATCACTGAATTTCTGGAAAATTCAAATCGATACCGATAATATAATAAACCAAAGTATCTGCCTCGTGATTTACAAAGAGCGGGCTTCAAGAAACACCCTATACATTTACGCCAAGGTTTAAAAACAGGAAGGAAATTCAATATCATCTTTAATGTTCAAATAGGCGGTTGTTTAGCTTCATTTTTCTGACATTTGCGCTTGGTTAATGTTACACTTAACTTGTGAAAGTGTCACTATGTACGGAAATCGACGAAGGAAATTCAATAACAATATGTTTTTTATGATTACTCAGGTAGATAGGTACTTTTGCATATGTGATTTCAGAATTTACCTTCACGTTAAAATTAATTATAATATAACAGCTGTAGAGTTTTGATAATAACAGCTGAATTGAATTATGCAAACAATGCAGGAGTGTTTATGTTTTGATAGTACCAAAATTTAATTTCGCAAACCTTAGAACACAATAACGATGCAAAATTAATTACATTTAAAGTACAGAGATTGACATCCGCATGAAGAACATTTCCCAATTAATTTTGATCGGTATTAAATAACGTTAGAAGGTAATTAAAATTAGAATGGAATATCACCGATGAGGGAGTCTGTGATGTTTAATAAGCTACCGTTGGTGTTATACTGGTTGCGAAAGTGGGAATTTTGGCGTACGAAATCTTAAACAACCGCCGTGTATTCGTGCGCACTGCAATTGATATAGCTCAATGTACTACAAATGGCGCGGTAAACGCCATCTGTAGTACGATGCTACATTTTAGGATTACGTATGCTCCAACAAGGTCCATTTAAATATACGGATATCTACTTGCTGAAACGAATCCCGGCGTAGCTAACCTCAACGTGATAAGCACGTTACCATAATCGAATAAAATAATTCGAAGTGGTCTGTATTCTATCGAAACTGCCAGACGCGGATCGCGATTTCGATCTTTTTGGATTTCATCAGCGCGTCGCAGGCAGCTCCGACAGAACACAGACCAACTTTTACCTGATGTCTTAACAGCGCGTTTTATAAAATACTACAAATGGCGCGATAAACGCCATCTGTAGTAAAAAATGTAGCATCGTACTACAGATGGCGTTTACCGCGCCATTTGTAGTATTTTATAAAACGCGTTGTTAAAACAGCAGGTAAAAATTGGTCTGTGTTCTGTCAGGGCTGTCTGCGACGTGCTGATGAGATCCAAAAAAATCGAAATCGCGATCCGCGTCTGGCAGTGTCGACAGAATATAGACCACTTCGAATTATTTTATAGCTCAATGTCATGATCCGCATCTTCGCACACGGTATATTATTAATATGTATTATAAAAACGAACTAAAAAAATTAATTTTTTGATTTTACCTTTTCGCAATCCTGTTCGAAAAGCCTGAGTTGAAAGCACTGATCCAATTTTAGTTTTTTATGGTGCCACAATTGTAATAAGTGTTGTTGCGAGGCATGTACCGCGTCTAAATTTTGAAGGACCAATGCTTTGATATCGGCATCTGATGTACCAATCACAGGTGAATCAGGATCTTTCCTTTCGCCTCCGCCTCCGCCTTGACCAGTGTCGCTTCCGCAAACCCTTTGTAACAGTCTTTGGCCTAAAATAAAAACAAAAATAATACTCCTATAGTAAGTATTTATGTTTACAAAAAAAACAATCCACAAGGGATTTTTTTTTAAGGAAGATTAAGAATCAGGACCTTCTAAGGATAATGATGAATAATTAAAGAACAAACGGAGAAAACTAAATTTTCATGACAACGCAGAAATTACAATTTTCGATTGTAAATGACGTAGAAATTGTAGAATGTATCAGATAACTTGTAATAACATCAACTTAGACATGTTTTTTTAAAAATTATTTCAAGTTTCTTAATTATTACAATTTAATTTGTAATATCAACTAAAATACCTAGTAAATTTATTTCTGCTGGGATTTTATTTTTACAAATTCGGTTCCAAATTGTAATTTTTATTATTTTCGCTTACGAAGCAACGGACTAGTGGGATAAATTGTAAATATCGCTTTAATATTTAGGTAAATTTTCCTTTTTCATTTCCTCCGCGCATTTTCTCAATTAAGAAGGAAAATAGGTCAAGAACTTATCAAATAAATAAACAAAACACAATTTTTTTAACAACAATAGCTTTTAAATGTACAAGGAGCCTTTTCTTATCTTAATTTCCAAATTTCTTACATTAAAAGCATTTTCTCAAAGATTTATTAAGGTAATTTATCCAGATTAATGGATCACATCAATCATTTATTTATTTCTTTATCCTTATTGTTAGTCAACTTTGAATTTGAGAAATTCCCTGAATATTTAATGTGATTAATTGCCTGATGCGTGATTGATGAACACATTCTTTATCGAAACTTTATATCCACTAAAAGCTACATATTATACATAAACCCCTTAGGAATACAAATAAAATAAATACCGTCGCATTTCACTATCAGCTAGTGAAAGTTAATTAACCCTTACTAGATTATAAAATAAATTTAAATATGCATTCACAATCCGTGTAAGTAATTGCACAACTTGAGACTGATTTATACCACCTGGATCAATTTTCTAATGAATGAAAGCGTTTGCTTACTTATATAATTATAAATTACAAATAAGCAATTTATGGCAAGGAAAATAATCTCAAATGGTTTTATGTGACGACTTTTTCGTTATTCAACGTTAAACTTAATAAATTATAACATTTATAAAGTGCATTTATTGAACACTTTCTACGAAATACATCAGTTAGTAGTAAATAATATCTGCATACATATGGCGAAAGGTTGTTGAAGGGGTATGTATGGCGCTGTACGGGTGGGAAACATGGACAGTGGACGCCGCAGAAAAGAAAAGGTTAGAAGCGTTCGAAATGTGGTGTTACAGGCGAATGATGATGATTCCGTGGGTAAAGAAGGTTAGAAATGAAGAGGTATTAGAAAGAATAGGAGAACAGAGGACTCTATGTAAGTCAATAAGAAATAGGCGAGATAGATTAGTAGGACACCTTCTCAGGCATAAAGGTCTAGTCAGAGACATATTAGAGGCTGAAACGAGAGTTAGGAGAGGTAAAGGTAGACCTAGATTAGATTACTGTTCGCAAATAGTTAAGGATATGGGTTGTTCTAGTTTTAGGGAATGTCTAAGGACTGACGACTTAACGATGATGACAACGGCGGTTTACTACTACAAATTAACAGACTGAATGGATGAATTTTAGTGTAGTCGGTGATTTGCCCTGATGGAAATCGGAATCGCGATTCGAATCAGGTGATTTCGTTAAATTGTTAATCAAGATTAATGTTATTTTTTTAATTCTTGTCTTGTTTTTTATTTTAATTCTGAGTTTATTATTTCCTTGCTGAGACATGCCAGAAGGAATTATACTATGCATATATTCTTAAAGAATCCAAAACTGTTGTTGAGTGCTTGCTTTTTCAATTACTCAACCTTCTTTGCATAGAATCAGACGCAGACTTCTACACTTTCTACACAGATTTATTATTACCCCTAAAAGTCAGGATGAAAACCTGATACTACTACCTCGGTTGACTACAACAATAGAGAATGCGGAGGATAACAAGAAAAAACAGCAAATCTTTACCGTCTTTACGAAAAGGAAAATAATCTATCACGATTTCAAATGATCTTACTCAACACGCTGTCAAGTCGATGTGTTTTGTTTTAGGCTTTCGTTTGAGAAATACGTAGCAAAAGAAAACGATTTGTTTCAAGAATCCTTTTTTGGTAAAAACAGTTTATTTTCTAATCTTTTTTTCTTAGGATTGTCGTCAATAAATAAGCTGAAGGCAAACACCAAAAGAAAGTTAATGTTTTAACGATTTAAAGATCATTCATACTCCTTCACATTTATAGTAATCATTGTGATCAAAGAGAATCCTGAAATAAAAACATTGTCTAAGGATTTGCTTTTCCCTTCAATGCAAATTTTGAATTGACGTTTGATCAACATCTGGTCTATGAGATTAATATTATAGACGCAAGGACGTCCAAAATACCGTAGATGGAAAAGCTTAAAAATGAGGTTTTAGAATGCGTAGGAGAACAGAGAACGCTATGGAAATCAGTAGGAAATAGGTGAGATAAGTTGGTATGACATCTTCTTAAACATGAAGGGATAATTAGAGACATATTAGAAGCAGAAGCAGGAGTTATAGACCTAGACTAGATCATTGGATTACTGTTCGAAAAGAATTAATTAGAAATGTAGGAGGTTGTCCAGTTCTCAAGAAATACGAAAATTGCCACAACATGGGAAAAACTAGAGGTGCTTGTCGAACTAGTCTTCGGGTTGAGGACCTTATGATGATCATGATGGTATATAATAATGTTTAACTCAATTTTTAATTATAATTATTAATTACTTCATTACATTAGCGTTATAGTTGTGCAAAGATCTGAGTGCTATTCCATTTCCATAACACATTCGCGTATAATATTATAATCTGTTAATCAGTTACTGCAAATATTTAACTACTTTTAATCCTAAAAAATTCTACAACAAATATGTATTGTGTTACTTTGTCGTTGGTTCACAAATTTGAAACAAAAATTTACTTTACAATACATTGTTACATCAAAAGCTATATCGTCTACTCCGTCCATATAAAGCAAGCACTTCAAATAGCAATTCGTTTGTTCGTTTACAACTATTAAACTTGGTATAACTGTTTTCAAAATGTGACACTTGTTCCTATAGCAACCGCTTTTGTAGTTGTTCATAAGAGACATTTTAAGATTACTAGAAATCGATATCGTTACGGATTCTGCATCTGACACAATACGTCCTTTTTGAAAGGAAGGAAGCGAATTAAAAAAAGAATAATAAAAAAGTCGATATATATGTGAGTACATTCGTATTGGTGGTATGTCAAAAACAGATATTTTGTTATAAGTATCTATTAACGATACGTAACAATTTAGTTTTATCGATGCATTTGTTGGAGATTTCAGAACCGTATAGGTCAGGGATGGCGAACCTTTACGTATCGGCGTGCCTTTTTTATAAAGAAAAGTTTAATCATGTTATAGACGTGCCATCAAATAACTTTGTCACTGTGATTATTGCGAATATAATATAATAATAATAAATAATATCAGCTCAAAATTCTTTATTTACTACAAAAAAAAATAGAAACATTTTGCAGTGTCTAAATTATGCGTGTAATTAAAATTAGAGTAAAATTAGTGTGACTTCTGTTGTTGCAGATTAGATGACAAATAACTTATGTTAGGGTTGTACGATGCTACTTTTAGCAGAATGCTAGTGTGCAATAGTCAAACGGTTTCTGAAAATTCCTTGATTAAAGAATCACAGAAACAAATTCTTCAGTAACTTGGTCTTCGTCTGGTTTCTCGTGTATTTCTAAATTGTTGTTACATTTTTTCAAATTTGGAAAATACTTGTACTGTTCGTTTCAAGAAGTTAGAGAAATGCCCCTTCCCTTTATTAGGATGCGCTGTAGCATAATTTCAAATTCAATCATATTTGTCTGCGGAGCTCATTTCTCCACTGATCATCAGGCGAGAACTAAACAAAAGTGTACAGTACCATTTGCAAAATTATTTAAACTGCCTCGTTAAAATTTAAGAATATGCTTTCCTCCACTCTTTANAGCACTTTTCGGTAACAAAGTTACCTTCTTCAGGGACTGAAGTAAACTAAACCTAAATGAGAACTAATCCTAATTTATACTGATAGTTGTTAAGGTTCAGTGAACATGACCCGAAGCCAACAAGGTAGATGTTCAATGGACCTTAACATCATCATCATAAACGTAATTAAACTAAACTAAATAGCGGAGATCCAGGGATGGGACCGTTGTCATTGTTAAGAACAATTTGTTTATTTTTATAAATGTATAAACTTTCAAAACTGTTTAGTAAACGATTATTCCTAACTTCTTTAACTAACTTAAGGTTATTAATATTAATATTATGTCCATCAGTAAGAATATGTTGGGCAACACTAGATTTTTCTTCTCTACCAAACCTAGCATGAGCTAGATGTTCTTTAAATCTGGTTTTGATTGAACGTCTAGTTTGTCCAATATATTTTTTACTACAGTCATTACAACTAATTTCATATATCCCCGACTTTTCTAAGAATGGAATTTTATCCTTAGGGTTACCAAGGAGAGTTTGAATGGAGTTGCCATTTGAACTGTAAGCAATCCGTAAACCAAGTTTTCGAAAAATACCCTCGAGTCCGCGAGTAAATCTTGGCTCGTATGGCATAGTAATAAACTTGGTTTTATTAGCATCTGTTTGAAAAGTCGTAGATCTTGAAATAAAATTCCTAAATTTTATCTTATTAATTAATTTATCAATAATGTTACAATTGTAACCATTGTCTTTTGCAAAGAAAATTGCAGTCCCTGAAGAAGGTAACTTTGTTACCGAAAAGTGCTTCGGGCAACTACAGTGTCTTGTTTTGGCGTTGGGGTTTTGAGCTATTCTGTTTGTTCTATGCCTTATACGTTTAAATTATTTGACGTGACGTGCCCAAAACATTGTGTTGCGTACCACTAATGGCACGCGTGCCATTAGTTCGCCATCCCTGGTATAGG